CACACACACACACACACACACACACACACACACACACACACACACACACACACACACACACACGCGCGCGTGCGCGCACGCACACACACACACACACACACACTCTCTCTATCTCTCTTTGTCTTCGCTTACTCTCTCTCTCCTCTCTCTCTCCGCTTCTCTCTCTCTCTCTCTCACACACACACACACACACAATCAATCAATCAATCAAATCAATCAATCAACCAAACCAATCAAGATTCGTTTTATTGATTTGTTTGGCTGATTGATTTTCAATGATTTGATTGATTTGATTGATTTGATTGATTTGATTGATTGATTGATTGATTGATTGATGGATGGATGAATCGATTGATTGGCTCTCCTTCTCTCTCTCTCTCTCACACACACACCAACACACACACACAGACACACACACCCACCCACCTACACACACCAAACCCAGCGCGACCCCTTTTTTTCTTTATTTGTTTTCAATTTTTGCATTTTTTTTTTTTTTTTAACACCCAATTTCCCGATACAAACCCAAAAAACATTTCTAAAAAAATACAGGATAACTCAGCGACCATGTCCGTCATGAAAAAAAAAGACTAAAAAAAATTCCTGCCATTTTGTTTTTTTGAATAATTTTTTTAAATCGATTTTTGTTTTTTATTTTTTTAAAATCTTAAACGAGGTCAGATTCAAAAATAAAAAATATAGGATTGTAGGGTTTTGCAAGCCGTACAACCCCATATATATATATGTATTTTTAGGGGTAGGAAAAAAATATTTAAAAAACAGGTCGCGGATAGGGCCTCATTGGCCGCGACCGAGGCTAACTTTTTCAGTTGCGGCGGGCGAATTGCCCACGGCCTAGGCCGCGGGTGTCACGAAGACGGTCACCATGCCAACCCGCTGGGACCAGTACACGCATGCTTTGATACAAGTCCTCGGTTCTGCTGCTGCGCAGTATAGGTCATGGTGGGCATGCCAGCCCTTTGACAGACGCTCGCCAGACCATCTATAAATATTTCTGGCGGGTTCGTAATTTGAACCCTGGTTGTGGTCGTCGTCCTGTCTGCGATGTTAAATAATTCTTGAGGACCTTGGGGGTTGTCCTTAAACTGCCTCCTAATCAGCCAGATCAAACCGGACTTGGGGCACAGGGGTGCGCCGGATTGCACACCTTCAGACACGCCGCTCAACCGGATGCTCGGGTTGTTGACACAAAGTGACTGTTCAAGCAGGACACAGGGAGAGGGGGGATTCCGGTAACTGTTCGCAAAGGTATTAATTAGAAAACATTCCATCCAGCATGTATCTCTACAAGTGATGCTATTTTATTTTTGATTATTTAGTTGTTACGGGTTTAACAGACAACTAACAGACAACTGCAGATAGTTAGTATTCTTTGTTGCAGAGCATTTATTCCAGAGTAATCTAAAAATAAAATTAGTATTTCCTATAGGACCTGATATTGATTGCTGGTCACCACTTGACTACTTTTGTCTAAGCCGACCGAACTTAGAGTTAGATATTAATCGATTGTGTGTCATGCTGAGGTGCGATCCAGTGTCGGTTCTAGTTTAGATCACAGTGTCATCACACACACTGTAGTTGATGAGTGATGCAAGCAGTAGTGAGGAGGAGAAACGATTAGTGGAACCTCTTAGAGTTACCCGTAAAACTGCTCTCAGTCGACCGATCTCTTTATCCGGAGTTAGGTACATGAGAGGAAAAAAGGTTACGGAGGGAAGCCAGGGAGAGGGCGACATTAAGGAGGACTAGGTCAGCAGTAGCCAGCTTAGAAGCCGCCATGGCTATCGCCTCCATGTCACACGCCTCGTCTCATGCCACTTCATCAGGGGTTAGTCAGGGTATCTCTCAGGGTCCAATTAGTCAATATGTTGGTTTGCAAGTCCACCAGCAAACTCAACTCACACTGGAGGATTATGAGATCCTCCAAGCAGAAGAACTTCATGATGAGTTGCAACGACAATTGAGAGAGGCAGCAGAAAAGAGACAAAAAGCTATATTTAGAAAAGCTAGACTAGGGAGCAGGAGGCAAGAGCTAAATAGATTAGAAGCACTAGAAGAGTAGGCACTTGATCCAGCGATGCAAGCGCTGCGTCGTTTGCTCCTTTGCGTGGCAGAAACGCAGGTTGTGGAGCAGGAAGTGTTGGTTGAACTAGTGGCTGGCCAGAACCAGATTCACTGCAGGCTCTTCGTCCAATGATGAGGCAACCTCAGTACGCTGTAGCTCCCCCTTCGGTTGCGGGTACCTTAGTGATGCCATCGCCGGTAGGACCCTCCTTTTTTCATATGTTTGGCATACCTTCTTCAGGTGGTTTAGTAGCAGTTAGTGATCTGGTCCCTAGAACTTATTTTGTACCATAAATGACGGTAGGAGCTACAGTCCCATCGCCAGGGCAGGCTCAGGTTAGCATGCAGCAACCTGTCTCAGTAGCTATGCAGCCACTTCAACAATCACTTGGGCAAATCCAACCCTTGCTGAGTCCTAAGCCTTTTTCTGGCGACAAGAAAAAGGACGAGGATCTGGACACCTGGGTGAGGACTGCGCCTACTAATATGAGGCACAAACTCACAAGGCCAGAGCAAGAAGTTATAGTCGCTGCTTTCTTTTTAGAAGGATCTGCAACTCAATGGTTCAACGGCTTAGTATAGCAGCGGGGCTTTGGTCAAAACTTTGATGTCTGGGTCCAGACCGATACATTAGAGGACTTTGTACGGACCGTGTACAATAGGTGGCATGACCCACAAGGGGCTCAAATGGCCACTGACGCGATAAACAGTCTTTGTTCCAAATGGTACAGGACTGTGTGTGAAGTCACAAACGCAATAGAACATCTGATTGTAGTACCTGGTGTGCGCTATGATTCTCAAGTACTACTCACATATTATTTGAGATGTCTGCCTACACATGTGAAAAATAAGCGGGTGGATGAGGCCAACATCAACGTACATAGCTTCGCAACCTTCAACAAGAAAGCCTTAGACATAGAGGCTAAGCTTTGGACTGTTCATCAGGGTCAGGGAGATGGTAGGAAGAAGAAACTTTGCCAAGACTGGAGGAAGAAGAGCAATCTCATGTTCGTCGACCATGATGGTCAGGCGATAGCGATTGACGACTTCCTTGACTTCGGGGAAGAGACAGAACAAGATGGGGCCAATAGGATTTCGGATGGGGGAGTGGTAGTGCCTATCAAAGAGAAAGCTCAGGGGACCAAGAAGTAGAAGGTAGGCCGGTCCAAGGGTAAGGGCGACCAATCGGACGAAGGAATGCCCACATGGGTAAAACTTGGTTAAGATCTGGGTAGCACGCCGAACACGTTCGGTGGCCCCACCGAACATCCGAACGTGTTCGGACGTTCGGCCGAGCGGGGACCGAACACGTTCGGTCCGAGCGCGGAATCGGCCCCCCCTAACGTGTTTCCGCTAGCCCGCTACCGAGGCCATTTTGGCCATTCCGGTTGGCAGGGGCAATCAGGGGGGGTGCCAAGGATTGGCGGGAACAGATGGGGGGAAGTCGGGGGAGGGAGAGGGGGCTGCAATTTCTGAAATTCGAACTGGCCCCCCGCTGGTTCGAGAGAGGGCCAGTTTGGGAGGCCATCGTCCACTGCTGTGGCCGCCCGTCCGTCGCCGTCAGCCGCCATCCATCGCCATCGTGCTGCAAGCAATCCGCCTCCTTCCGTGGCCGCTCGTTCGTCATCTCCTGCAGTGGCCGCCCGCCCTTTTGTCGTCGCCATCACCATCGCGGCATCGCTGGTAAGTAACACTGTGTGTGTGTGAGTGAGTGAAGAGAGAGAGAGAGAGAGAGGGAGAGAGTTTTTTTTTTTTTTTTTTTTTTTTTTTTTTTTTTTTTTTTTTT